AAGGGGGAGGAACACACGGCTACTCGTCTCCGTCGTACTCTCAGGAGGGCAGGTCGGAGACCTTGGAGCGCTCGGGCAGGTCGCCACAGGAAGCTTCATCCAGTAAGTTGTCTGCATCGCCCGAAGAACCGAGCAGGAAGGGGCCTTCTGTTCAGAAAAGGAAAAAAACTTAAAGCGTTTGTCATAACTTTCCATTTTCTTTATCCTCTTGGGATGTCTACCTCATGCAACTACAGGGGAAATAATTTCATTATCAGTAGCTGACCTGGAATTTTAACTACTGTTGAGGAACTGTGAATTTTTTTTTCTTTGATAGACAAATCACTCCAAGCAAAATACACTTGAGCAGGGTGCATTACATTTTACCTTCTGTATGTGTGTGTATGAGTGTGCACGCGTGTGTGTATGTGTACATATCTATAAATATATATTTTTTCCATCAGACCACTCTCCAGCTCCCACAAGACATTACTGTGAAGCAATAGGCGCAGTACCCACAAACATTCCTGAACTCATTCCTAGAACCCATTTCCAAACTTGTTCAAAAAAACCTAACGAGAACACCCAGAAATCTCACTCAAAACCAAACCAAACCTGAAAAACCACACACAGAACTGGGATCAAGACTGTTACTTCTCTTGTGAACCAAAGGATGCTTTCATATTTTAAAGCTGCCATGTGGTACTAAAGATACTAAGACATCCCCCAGACCATCAATTTGAGTTATTTTCTTTCTTATCTCCACAAAGTATCAAAACCCCTCCCCATGCCCGCACAGGGCAGTGTCATGACTCAACAGGGCTCTCATTGCCACCATCCTTTGTTGGTGAGGAGTTTAAAGCTCCAGAAAAGACAATGAATGTGTAGTTTCTGTGCTGGCTTCTCAAAATGTTTTGTTAAATTAATATGATTGTAACTGTAATTTAGATGACTTGTATAGGGGAGAATGTGTAAGTGGTCACCAAACAGACACTTCTGAGTGGTATCAGGAGACGATCCTGTTTAACCCTTTGTATTCTGTGAACATTTAGGGGACCTTGGTGGCAGTAGCAGCAGCAGCAGCAACTTCTCTTGGCCCTGAGTGGTGCCCCTCGGTTTGAAGGAACTTCCATCTTGTTTTCTGTTGAAATGCCATGGAGAGAGCTCCTTAGGGATTTTTGTTGTTGTTGTCTGTTTTGATTATAGAGAAACCAAAAAGCTAATGAGATCCTGGGATAAATAGTTTCTTAAGATTAAAGGCAGATGGGTACTTGAGTTGCTCAGCCAGCCTCCCTTGCTGGTGACACAGCATGTGTGCAGTCAAGAAGGACAGGCATCTGCTGCAGACAAGCCTTAGTGAGGGGACCTGCAAATCTGCCAGAAACCCTGGGCATCATCTTCTTGTGAACTGGAGACTGCTGCAGACTTGGTCCAGAGTGCGCTGGGACCACACACTTCTACATTAAAGAGGAGAAAGGTCGGTGGCCTCAGCACGAGGCTCCCTGGGCTGCAGCCCTTGCTCGGGGTTAATAGAGTTGGAGCCTCTCAAAACTTCAAGTCGCTTTCCATTTGTAACATCTGAATTACCAAGTCATACGTAAAATAACATACTTTGACAAATCCCATTGCAGATGTAAGTTAATTACGTAAACCTGTATAATCCTTAACATTGGCAATAAACACAGGCTGGTAAAGCTTTGCAGAGTCAGGTAGGTTTAAGCTCAGATAATCAAACTAAAGAAACGGCCTGCATGAAAGGCTGTGGCGGGCCCAAGTCCTACCCGTGGTAACTCTTTTGCAGCCGATAGTTACTGCAGGTATGCAGCTGGCTCCTGACGTGGCCTTCCCCTTCCCACTTGTCCTGCCAGATGAGACTTTTACTGTTGCTGCTGCTGCTGCTTCAGTGAGCAGGTAGTAATCGAACGCCTCAGCGAAGGGCGCAATTTCGAGAAAACTATTTTATGTGAATTCATTGCCAGTGTTTGCGAGAATCTCGATGGTTTGTACTGAAGTTCTCAGTATGCTAATGCAAAGCTTACCTTTGACGATATTGAATGTGATATATCTATAGAGAAGAACTTCCTTGCCTTACGTAAGGATAGTAAACTTATTTAAATTATGTAGACAAATCAAAGTGGCATTGCTTAACCTTCTAGCCGGTGTAAAAACCAGGTTAAACAGCAAAGATGCAAAACTTAGGTCACTTTGAAAGTTTAAACCAAAGTTCCTTCTAGAAATAGGCAATTGTGGATTTGAAAACTGGTCATTCCCTGTTTATATGTAAGAAGTTCAGAGCTGAGATAAGGAAATATTTTCAACGTGCAGATTTTAACTGGTGCTGTTTGAAATCACTGTGCGCACCAAAGTCAGACTGAACTGCTAAGAGCACATACCAAACCCTGTCTTATTGTTGAAATCTTAAGGTTTTATTTTTATATATTAGAATGTTATCACTATTACATAACATACTCAGGACAAAGAACTTTGCTCAGGGAATATACCATGTAATGTTTTTTCTTTACAGAATAGTCTACAGACCTGCTTACTCAGAACAAACCAAATAGTCTTAGACCTTTTTATCGCTTTATAAGTATTATGTACTGATATTAGTAACTACCTCTGAGTTGACATAGACCTACATTTCTGATAATCAGATCTCAGCATTTTGTATTATAAGTTCCTGTGAAATGATAAAGTGGTATTCTGTACTGGTTGCTTATGTGAGCATTTGTGTCTTTACATTCACAGGGTCTGAGTTTTCAGAGATGCTGGGCAACCACAGCTCCCACTGACTTCTAGTTGGAGTTACTGGTGCTTAGCTTTTCTAGGAGGGGAGGGATGGGGGACGGGGCGGGGGGAGGGGGTGAAGGGGGAAGAATAAAACCACAAAAGCATCAAGTCCACTTTGTTTACATAGGTGACAATAAAATTATTATTCTGTTTACAGCAAAATGCTACCTCATATTTACTGCATAAACACACCTTTGTGCTGCTCTAGCCTTAAAGGTGGCTGTTGATCTATGGTACATACCTTTTATCTGTACTAAAGATGTAACTGGTAGTTCACCACTGCACACGTTATGGCAAATACTTGTTTAAGATGAAGCATCCATTTGAAATTATGAGACGTTTCCAAACATTTCTTTGAAAGTTTTTATTTTTCTGTCTAAAGGATTATGGGCACTGTTCACAAAAATAAATACATCTCCAGAAGAGACAAAAAATGTACATGCACAAGTTAAACATATATCAGCGCAAGCTGCGGCAGGTAACTACTTAGCACTGGGCTGCAGGAGGAAAAAAATCTAGTTCTAGTCTTTCAATAGGCTGCTCCAAATAAGCAAAGAACCCTGTAAAAGAAGAGGCACAGACTGAGTTTAGGATTCTTCCTTCATGTCTAAGGACGAAATTAATATTCTGCAGCATTGGCTCAGCCTAGATTTCCGCTATTCACCAGCCTGTCCTTGCCAGAATGCTTCACAATAAAACTCGTTTCAGTAGAAATAGTTCAACTGCCTGCTCAGAGAGATGTGTTTTTCTCCTAACAATACTGGAGATAAGGTTAAACCTGGAACAAGAGTATCTCTCCCTCCCATTCCCCCGCTACAAAATACTCAATTTGATTTAATCATAAGGGACATTGTGAGGTATTTTTTACTCTCCCCCAAGGAGAGGTCATGGTATTTATTTACATGCCGTATAAGTTAGGCTGTGAGGAAGACTTGTATTTGGAGGCAGAGACAAATAACCTTTTGCTGCAAGTGATGGTAAACCTGGTGTTGCAATACCGTTTGCAATATTTTGCTTTCAGCCAGCTTTCAGGGAGTGCCAAACACCACATTTGGATCCTACCTCTTCCCTGTGCTGGCCACCTTTTTCAGCCCAGTTTTACTCTGCGCCAGCGTTATCCTGGAGTTCCTGCTTAGTCATACTTGGTTTTGTGAATAGAGCCCCATAAAATGTGTTTATAGATCTTGTAACATTCTTTGTAAGAAGAATTATAAAAGAACATGGGAAATCTCATCGAGTCTTTAATTTAATTAATTTATCTGTAAGAAATGTTTATCATAAGAAATTATATATGTATTCCCCTGTGCTAGATATAAAAGCAATTGGGAAGATGTGTACATGTGCAGATGCACTGGTTTTAATTTTCTAGAAGTCTTAACGAGATTTGAGTATTGTTTTAGAAACAAGAGAAGCCTTGTTAAATGCATCGATCTTATTTTGCTTAGTATATCAACAGCCTCTTCTTTAAGATCCGTTGGTTGTGTTACCCCTGTTACAACTGTTGACTGATAACAAGAGGTTGATCTATGAACACACGCTTCTTTTTTTCATGCTAAACCGGAGCTGTGTGTTAGCAGCTTTGGCAGTGTTTTTGTGAGAATGTTGAGAAGTACCAAGGTGTTTGCTGCCATTGTCACTGAACCAAATGTAAGAGCAACCGCCTTTACAAAGGATAATGGTTTTGACTACCTCTTGGATTACTAAATTAAGCAACAACTGACTGACAAACATCACCAGACTGGCTTATACTAGTATGTGTTGCTTGTGGTAATAATAACAATAACCATACTAGAGACCAAAGTGAACACTGATTTTCTATATGTCTTTAATACTGTGTCTTATCTAGTGTTTTTAAATTATCTTCTGTAGTATAGATTACCTCATTGTCCATTTTGACTTGTATGTTGTTTACAAGGTGAAATAAAAGAAAAATCACTTGAATTTTATGTTTTAAGAAAAAGACAGTAAGTTGAAGTTTTGAAAGTCATTTCACCTGTTTACTGTCTCGAGGGACTAAAGCACTGATTGCCTTTCTACATATCATGTATTTTATATTCTCATTTCATGCCTAATGTCTTTTTTTCCTGTCAGTCGTGGATATTGTGAGGTTTAAAATAATTACTTGATTAAAAATAAAACATATAACGTTGTCATTTACATAGAGCCTTTGAGATTTTCTTTATTTGCATGATAAAAAAGCACTGTGCAGTCACTGGGCAGACTTTTCATAAGCACCTATGTTCACTTAGTTTTAGGATATTATCTTCACAAGAGATAATTTTAGTCATATAAGCTGTTGGGGCAGGGTGGGGGGAAATAAATGATTCATGCATACCTAGATCATACTAGCAATGCTGCTGAAATTGCACCCCAAACCCCATTTGTCTGTCAAAATTAAACTGCA